TTGCCTTACTACAACCCTGCAAAGTGAACTTTCCTTGCTTGCTTGATTGATGCTTGATTTTTAAAAATAGAGATATAATTCATATACATTTCAATTCACCCTTTTAAAGCGTACAATTTAGTGGTATTTAGTATATGCACAAGGTTTTGCATTCAGTTCTCGGATAAGAATGCCTGTACCTATCAGCAGCCACTCTCCATCCCTCTCCCCCAGGCCCTGGCAACCATGAATCTACTTTCTAGCTCTATGAATTTTGTATAAAAGGAATCGTTTGGCCAAGTACAGTGGCTTATACCTGTAATGTCAACACTTTGGGAAGTCCAGGTGAGCAGATCGCTTGAACTCATGAGTTCAAGACCAGCCTGGGCAGCATGATGAAACCCCATTCTGCACAAAAAGTACAAAATTTGGCTGGGCATGGTGGTGCATGCCTGTAGTCCCAGCTACTTGGGGGATTGAGGCAGGAGGATTACTTGAGCCCAGGAGGTTGAGGCTGCAGGACTCCAGCCTGAGCGACAAAGTAAGATCCTGTCTCAAATAAAATAAAATAATTAAAAATAAAAATAAAAGGAACTCTACAATATGTAGTCTTTTGTGTCTGGCTTCTTCAATTTACTGTAATGTTTTTAAGGCTTATCTATGTTGTCGCACATAGTATTTCATTCCTTTTTATGGCTGAATCATATTCCATTGTATGGTTGTTTCATGTTTTGTTTATCTATCCATCAATTGATAAACCTTTGGGTCATTCATTCCCACATTTAGGCTATTGTGAATTATGCTGCTATAAATATTTGTGTACAGGTTTCTGTGTGAAGACATTTTCAGTTCTCTCCTGTATATGCCTAGGAGTGGAACTGCTGGGTCGCATGATAGATCAATGCCTTGAACTATTTTTTTTTTTTTAGATGGAGTTTTGCTCTTGTTGCTCAGATTGGAGTGCAATGGCGCAATTTTGGCTCACCGCCAGGCTGGTCTCGAACTACCAACCTCAGGTGATCTGCCTGCCTCCGCCTCCCAAAGTGCTGGGATTACAGGCATGAGCCACTGCACCCGGCCAATGTTGAACTTTTTAAAGAGGTGCCAAGTTATTTTCCAAAACAGCAACATGATTTTATATTTCCATCAGCAGTGTATGAGGATCTGATTACCCCTATATCTTTGTTAACATTTATTGTCTTTTTTTTTTTTTGACAGGGTCTCACTGTGTCCCCTAGGCTGGAATGCAGTGGCATGATCGTGACTATGATCCACTACAGCCTCAACCTTCCAGGGCGAAGGTGACCCTCCCACCTCAGCTTCCTAAGTAGCTGTGACCACAGGTGCATGCCAACCCACCTAACTACTTTTTGTATTTTTTGTAGAGATGGGGTCTTGCTGTTTGCCCAGGCTGGTCTCGAACTCCTAGGCTCAACCCATCTGCCCACCTGGGTCTCTCAAAGTGCTTGGATTACAGGCATGAGCCATGGCACTTGGCCTTATCTGTCTTTTTTATTTTAACCATTCTAGTGGATATAAAGTGGTGCCTCATTGTGATTTTGATTTGCATTTCTCTGATGATGAATGATGTTAACCATATTTCCATGTGCTTATTGGCCATTTAAAAAAAGTATTATTATTTTTTAATAGAGATGGGGTTTCACTGTGTTGCCCAGACTGGTTTCAAACTCCTGAGCTCAAGCAATCCACCTGCCTTGGCCTTCCAAAGTACTGGGATTACAGGTGTGAGCTACCATACCTGGCCCTACTGGCCATTTGTATGTCTTCTTTGGAAAAACACCTTTTCAAATCTTTATCGGCCTTTTTTTTTTTTTTAATTTTTTATTTTTAGGGACAGGGTCTTGCTCTGTTGCCCAGGCTGGAGTACAGTGGTATACAATCATAGGCCATTGTGGCAAAATCATAGGTCATTGTGGTCTCAAATTCTGGGCTCAAATGATCCTCCTGCCTCAGCCTCCTGAGTACCTAGGACTACAGCCAGATGCCACCATGCCTGGCTAATTTTTAAAATTTACATAGAGATGGGGGTCTCCTTCTGTTGTCTAGGCTGGTCTTGAACTCCTGGGGTATGGTGGTTCACGTTTGTAATCCCAGCACTTTGGAAGAGAGAGGCAGGAGGATTTCTTGAGGCCAGAAGTTTGATATCGGCCTGGGCAACATAGCAAGACTCAGTCTCAACAACCAAAACAATATATTCTTTTTTAAAATGAAAGAAAATGAAACTAAGGCAGAAAGAGGTTAAATAGTGTGCCTAAGGCTGGGTGCGGTGGCTCACGCCTGTAATCCTAGCATTTTGGGAGGCTGAGGCAAGCGGATCATGAGGTCAGGAGATCAAGACCATCCTGGCCAACATGGTGAAACCCTGTCTCCACTAAAAATACAAAAATTATCTGGGAGTGGTGGCACGCACCTGTAGTCCCAGCTACTTTGGAGGCTGAGGCAGGAGAATTGCTTGAACCTGGGAGGCGGAGGTTGCAATGAGCTGAGATTGTGCCACTGCACACCAGACTGGCAACAGAGCAAGACTCTCTCTCAAAAAAAAAAAAAAAAAAATAGTGTGCCTGAGTGGTTAAGCCCAGTTCACATCCCCGAGGAAGTGTAAATGATCAGTAAACATCTAAAAAGATGTTCAACTGCCTTGGAGGTCAGGGAACTGAAATGTAAACACCAAGAGCACTAACAGCACTCATTTTTCCTTCACCTGGTGGGCTAAATTTGCAAAGGCTTGGAGGTGGAGAATGGCACTCACATGCCCTGCTGGTGTGAGCATCAATTGCTCCAAACTTTGGGAAAGCAATCTGGCAGAATGTATTACTAAAATGTTTAGCGCAAACACCCTTCGACCCTACTCCTCAGAAACAAAACGTCTGGAATATAAAGTTGTATGTACAAAGACGTGTACTGTTGCATTGTTTGAGAGGCAAAAAACTCGAAGCCATAGGAATATTCACAAGGGAGAATGGCTGGGTACATTATAGTACATTGACAGTAAGGAATATTCTGTAGCCATTACATAAGTTAAGGTCTAGATGTATTGATCTGGGGGGATATCTACAAAATAATTTTAATGAAGGAAGAAACTTACTAATAATTTGTATAGTACTTATATGTTTTTATATTTTATATTCATATATGCAGTGATGCTCAATGGGGATTTTGCAAATCCAGGGGGCATGTGGCAATGGCTGAAGATATTTTTGGTTATCATGTCGGGGAAGTGCTAATGACATAGGGTTAAATCCTACAATGCACAACCTCCCTGCAAATAATTATCAACCCAAGATGTCAGTTGTGCTGAGGTTGAGAAAACCTGGTATAGGTAACGAAAAAAAGGATAAGCACAAAACTGCTAGCTTTTTCCTTACATATCTGTGCTGTTTGACCTACCATGTATATTTATTTTGACAACCAAAAATTAGCCTATAAAAGAATACTCAGTAAGTTTATTGTGCTGGCAAAGACAATGATGGAGCAGAGGTGGCAGACGGTTCCGCAAGCCAAACTGTTTCTCAAGGAAACCTGAGGGACAGGGTTTGAGTGGAGAGTGGTGGGAGCTGGAAGCAGCAGGGGATGCGTGGGGACATCTGGGAAGCCTGGCCCTGAACTTGGAGCTCACTCACACAGTCTAAACAATCCCAGAGTGAGGCTGAGGTTTTCCTGAGTTAGACAAAGGCCTGCAAAAATTTCCTACTATTAGGCAAACCTACAATGAGAGTGAGAAACAAGCCTAAAGTCAGTTTCCATCTTACAGCCTGGAGTAAACCATTTCTGGTCAGGCAGCTGGGAATCATAACACATCAGAGCTGAATATCTCACTGGTTTGCTGAGGGGCAAGTTAGTAGGTGTTCCTCAGGAAAGGGTTTTGTGGTCAATTAAGATAGGGAAACTCTGGCTTAAACTGCAGGTAAATTAAACAAGAGGTCTTTGCTGCAAGCATAATCAGAGCCTTGATTATGCTCGGGCAGCTCCAAAAGGGTGGTCATGAAATACGGGACTTCCCTGTCTTGACCAAGCCCTTTTTCTTAAGATCATATCTTGAGACTTGGATGCCATGGAATACGGTTGGGAAATACTAACTTAGTTGAACGAGTTTTACTGATGTAGAAATGGTGGCCCAAAGGAGAAAAAGCGACTGGCTGAACTAGCTGGTGGGGCTACTTTCCAGACCAATGCTTTTTTCTCCTGCCAAACAACTAAACACAGTTGCAAATTAACTACAGGTCCTTGGGGAACATTGCTCAGAATTTTTTCCCTCGATTCAATTTGGAGACGTTGCAGTGGAGGGGAGGGAGAAGGGAGTAACAGTGAAGCCATTCAAAGCAAAAACCACCTTTAAAGGAAATGTTGGCCTTTAAAGGTGGTTTTTGTATCAGAATACAGGTATTTGTTTTTTTTTTAATTGGTGGAGGGGGCACCCATGAAGACCAGACGGGGCTCCTGGGAGGCAATGCTCCACCACGTCCTTTTGAAAATATCATAGCCTGCATGAGACAAGCGGGAGTATCTGAGCCTTCAACTCTACCCAGTTTGCTTCCAATTGACCTCACTGGGCCAGGAGAAGCCCTATAAACTGGTTTTGTATAGTCTATCCAAGTAGTAAATTTACTAAAATTACTGGATCCTACTATATACCAGACCTCTGCAAGGCATTGAAAATTCAGTGATGAGCTAATTCCACTCTAAAGCGATTTTTCTATCTGGTAGGGAAACTCTGATACCGCATGCAGCTAGCCTGTCACAGGGCTACACTGCCTAAAGCTCATCATAAGAAATTTCCACATCTTAGCCTGTGGGGCAACGGGAAGCTATGGACGGAAGATGTTTTCCATTTCAAACACGGAATTCCAGTCACAGCAGGATCTGACTCCATTTCCCATTATCAACTCCTCTTTTTACTCCTCCTCCCCTAGCAGCCTCGAAGAGTGGCCACTTTCTCTCTTCATATCACCAGGCTCTTGGTCCTGGAAGAGGTCCTGCCCCCGTCCTGTCCTCCTCCCTAGGCCGAGATCCGGCAGGGACCCCGGCGCCTACACCCCCACAGTACAACTCTAACAGGAAACTGGGCCAGGACTACCGGTAGGTCCCGTCCAATGCGACACGCTCGCGACGGCTCACGCACTGCCTGGAGAACCAGTCTTGCCACTAACCAGCCTAGCAAGGAACGCAGAGATCTTTAGGAGCCCACTTTCAAATTCAAATCATTTGGGGTCCAGTAAGTCTCTTGACAGGCGGGGACTTAATGACTCCCATCAGTAGCCCCCACGTTTGCTGAACACGACTACCAGGCCAGATACACAGGAACTCCAATGTGGTTTAGCCGCTGAGCTCCAGGCACCCAAACAACTTGCTCACCTCCCAGCGTTACTAAAGAGCAAACCCGCCCTCAAGCCTCAGCTACTGTGAGGTGCAGGGAGAGGCAGGGTCACGCATGCGCAGTTTCCGCCCCCGCCACCGTGGCGGGAGTGGGCGGGCCCGAGGGCGGGGAAGAAGCGGAAAGCCGACCGGGAGGAGAAAGAAGCCCGCCCCCGGAAGTCTCGCCTGTCTCTGCTGCCTGTTTCCGGAAGTGCTGCTGATTGTCGCGGACGCGATGGCTTCAAGGTTACTTCGCGGAGCTGGAGGGCTGGCCGCGCAGGCCTTGAGGGCTTGCGGTCCCAATGGTGCGGCCGCAGTGCGCTCCATGGGCTCTCGAGGTACTCGGCTTCCCAGGCGTGCCAGGGACCAGAGTATTGCCCTCCTGGAGTGGTCCCAGGGCGGCAAAGCGGGGCGTGCCGTGCAGCTACTCCAGGTCCCAATGACCGCTTACGGTCTGGAGTGCCTCAGGCTCTGCAGGCATCTTCCTGTAATTCCGGGCCGCTGCTCCTGCCGCCCCCTGAACTGACTCCGCTGCGAAAGTATCCTAAACGGAGGTGCCGGGTGACCTTGGGAGGGGCGGGGACTGCGACTGGGTTGAGGAGGGGTCCGGCCGCCCTTTAAACCTGCGCCCACCTCAAGCCGAGTGGGTTCTCATTTGCTTGTAGACAAATTGGCCTCGGTGGTTGGACAAGGAAAAGCTCCTACGCTGGGTGCTCACGCCTGTAATCCCAGCACCTTGGGAGGCCGAGGCGGGCGGATCACCTGAGATCAGGAGTTCGAGACAAGCCTGAACAACATGATGAAACCCCGTCTCTATTAAAAATACGAAAATTGGCCGGGCGCGGTGGCTACGCCTGTAATCCCAGCACTTTGGGAGGCCGAGGCGGGTGGATCACAAGGTCAAGAGATCAAGACCATCCTGGTCAACATGGTGAAACCCCGTTTCTACTAAAAACTACAAAAAATTAGCTGGGCATGGTGGCGTGTGCCTGTAATCCCAGCTACTCAGGAGGCTG